TAGGGAGCCATCGCAGAGCAGAGAAGAGGATGGTCCAGAGTGCTAATAGGCACCAGGTGTAAAAAGTCCAGAGTACAGAACTGCAGGTAGGAATGTAGGCATCATACAAAATGTGCATTTGTATGTGGTCACAGAAGTGGAGGGCAGTATGAAAAGAGAATGGGGGGGTGTCATGTGTCTTCATGCAACAGAATGTGTGTGTCATCGTGAGAATGCATGGTATATATGTGTGGCAAAAAGGAAGAGAAGCCAGCACAGTAGTAGTTCATACCTCGGGCATAAGCCCTGGGCCCAGTAGCACTTTGGAAGGCCAAGGCAGGGAGATTGCTTAAGCTCAGGACTTTGAAACCAGCCTGGGCAACATGGCAAAACCCCATCTCTACTAAAAATACAAAAACTAGCTGGGCATGGTGGCATGCACCTGTAGTCCCAGCTAATAGGGAGGCTGAGGTGGGAGGATCACTTGAACACAGGAGGTTGAGGCTACAGTGAGCCATGATCATGCCACTGCACTCCAGCGTGGGCAATAGGGAGAGAGAGGGGGAAAGGGGCAGAGAGAGAGCGTGTGTATGTTGTGTGTATGTCTGTGTGTAAAGTTATGGTCATAAGTATGGTGTCCTGAGAGCATAAGCATGAGACCAAGTAGGTGTATAGACTCATGACAGTGTGTAGATGTGTGTGGTCATAAGTACATCAGGGCTCATGACTGCATATAATTGTGGTCATGAGAACACACGTGTGGGTACACAGCCATGACAGTAAATGTGTATGGTCATACATGCACAAGCACCTGGGATTCATAACATCACACATGCTCACAGGAGCACATGGGGGCTGTGAGAGCTTGTGCCAGTATGCGTGTGTGATCATGAAAGTGTATTGGTGGTCATGAGACAGTGTAAGTCCATGTGTGGCCTTGAACCTGTGTAAGAAGGTATGAGCAAGAGAGGAGGGAGGGATGGGGTGATACTGAAAGAATGAAAGCTCTACTAGCTCCAGGTGCTCTGCCCCAAAGTAGGACCAAAAATTTGGGGCACTCCACAACTAGCCTAGTTTGAGCTGAAGTCATGGAACTGGGGCCACCCCAACTTTCTACCTACCCCCACCCATCGGGGATGCACTGCACCATCTCCCAAGCCCAGGCCTCCAGGTCCATGAGATTGCTGGGGTCGCCCCCCTGCATGTCCCAAAATGCTCACTCCTCACAGAACAGCTCAGGCAAAGCTCCAGGCCCGGCCCCACTCCCCAGGCCTCCAGTCCCAGCAGCGCCCCTCTAGGCCAAAGGAGAGCCATCTTCTGAAGCAGCTGCCGAGGCCCTCTCCCATCCAGCCTCACCCCACAGCTGGACTCAGAAGGGCTCTCGGAGGTCACAAAGGCCACCTCCCACCCTGTGTGGGAGTTTCTTTCACAACATCCCTGGCAGCCCAGTCTTGACCTGATTATCCTTCAGGAACAAGGAGCTCACTATCAAATGAGGAAGGTTTCATCGTTCTAAGGAAGCTTTTTCTTCCATTGAATGGAAAACCCATCTCTCTTTGAAATGACAGTTATCTATCTGAAGACAGTGGCCATGAAGGCACATCAAGTAGATCTCTAACTTATGAGCATTCAACTCTAACAGCTGGGTGAAATAAGCAATAAAGGCCTCTAAAATCAAATCGGCTATTTCATCTGACACTTTACTACAAAATTATATTGTGCATATGTACTCTTTGTAAAATCACTGTACAGTAGTATATACAGTATATATTTACATAATATAAAATACATATATACCATACTATACATTCATATTACTGTTCAGGGTTATAAACCCATTTGCCATGCTTTATGAGAGACTGGGGAGTTTTCACTTCATCTACTGCCCACAGCATCTAATGCCCCCACAGGGATGTAACACCAGTGTCCTGGGTCCCCAGAGGTTTCGCTGCTCCAGGTTAAATATCTCCAGTGGCAAGGAGGCCCTGCTTCATGGAACTCGGGATCAGAAGACAGACCTCTTCAATTCAATCCAACAATCACTTACTGAGTGATTTCCATGCATCCGATACTGTTACGAAAGCAAAAGACATGTAAGACAGAAAGTCCACAGGCTACTTGAGAGAACACAGATACACATGTAATCACTGGACAGCAGTACAGAGAAGCACGTGACCAAACACTCAGTCTCTGGCACAGTCAGGGGGTCAGTGCTGAACACCACTTGGAGTTTGACCAACTGAATTAACTGGTGGCAGCTTCTCCTCCAGCTCTCTCAAAACGAAGCAGCCCCAGCCAAGGCCTCTCAATCACCAAGTGAAACGCAGGTGGCTACTACATGCTAGAGCTGACTTCACCTCGGGGGATGGAGATACCTGAAGGAGGCCCTGAGGTTGCAGCACCCGAGCCTCTCTGAAAGCAGAGCAATGAGCTGGGCAGCAATCGTGCTTCTTGTGCCAGCAGCCAGGCAACAAGCGGGGAGGCCTCAGGCTCAGCCCAGCCCTGGAGTCTCCTGCCATCCTTGCTTAGAGCTCCTTCCCCCACTGCTGTTTCCCCCACCAGCGCTGTCCCTGTGACATTCTCAGTTGCCTCAGGCCCCTCCCAGTATAGCAAATGCAGAGGGTCCCCTAGAAGCAGCCCCTTCCACAGTATATCGAGGACCATGGTCCCTCTGAATCCTCCACTCTGCTGGCCACCCGAAGTGCCACGCTCCTGTGAGCCAGCACCGTATGCCCTCCAGAGCTAATTATAGGTCAGTGAGCTAGCAGGCCAGAGGGGGACAGATGGTGACTTCATGTGGCTGCAATACATACTTGTCCCTCCCTCCCTCTGACCCCACTCCCTCCCCTCCATTTCTCTCAATTCCCTATGTGGGACCCAGACTTTGAGGCAGTTTTCACTCCCTCAATCCTCCCTGCTCCCCACCACTTCTCCTCTCCAACACAAGCACAAGCACACACACTCACGCATGTGCACACACATGCACGTGTGCACATACACGCACACACACCCCTCCATACCACTCAATTGCCATGCCTTGTTTCTACAGCAACTCACCTATGGAGCCAACACAGTAGGGCCTAAAGCCCAGGGGAGAATGTCCTTGGCATTCGAAGGCCTCAGCTAGCCGCCCGTATCTTAAAACCCGCTTAGCACCCAGCTCCCTGGCCCTGCTAAGCCTTCATCCCCACCTCATCACCACCACAGCCTGACTACTCATTCTCTTGCCTAGCTCTAGCTCTGCCATCCTCGGAGGCTCCATGAAGAACTACAAGCCATCCCTGACAACTCTTTCCAACTCTAAGATTTCAGAAATCAGCTCAGAGATGAGACCCAGGAGCCTGGCTGCCTGCCATGCCCTGCCCCTCCAGCCCTCCTTTACAGCCCAGCAGCCAGACCTCATGCACTGCACAGTTCTGACATCATGACATGCTCAGCAGCACAAACCCCAACCCCACTGGACAAGAATTCCCTTCCACGCCCTCCTCCCCCACACTCTTCCATCTTCCAGAGATGGCGTCTCCCACAATGCAGAGTGTCTAGGACATTCTTGGCCCCCAATAACCATTTTGTCATTCACTATCTCCTTACTTTGAGATACCATTTATCCCAGGAAGCCTCCTCAAACCTCAGGACAAAATCTGAGAAAATAACCAAGGAAAATCATTCAAGCTGCCCTTTTGCTTAGGCAGCTTCCCTGGGACTACCTGGCCAGTTAATAGTGGTACGGGGTGTGTAGGCTGCAGTCTAGTTCAGACAGCTGCTTGAAAGTACGTGGACACAGTTCTTTCTTTTTCTAATCCAACAGTAATGTAACAGAATGGGGGTGGGGGGTGAGGGAGGTGTTAACAGAATACCTACTATGTGTGCCTACTATGTGTACCTTTCAGCTGCTCCGTGGCTGTAAATTGCCTTCAGAAGACCTAGCACCGAGCATAGTATCCGGCAGATAGTAGGTGTCCAATAAATGTTTGCTGGATGTTGAACAAAGTACTAGGTACCAGATCCAACAACTCTGGAAAGGACTATGGGAAATCCCCGGAACCTGGCTCCTGGAGAGGACCCTTAAGCGCACACCAGGAGGGGATCTCCCTGCTAAGCAAAGGCTCCTTAACCACTTGCTCTCCACACAGAACGGCTTCAACTCTTCCGCTCCTCTGATGGAAACTACCAGCACACCTCTCCTCAAAGGTGACATCAGCGCCTAGTGGCACCTTGTCCTGGATCCCTCTTCCTTCTCAAAAAAAACCACCTACACCATGTCTCCAAGTCCTCCAACCCGACCTCTCTCTTCCCACCCACCATCAAAACCTCAAAATCTGTGCTAGAAAACATCCCTACTGCGTGGACGTAAGTCAGCACCCCACTCCCACCCTCCAGTTCAGGCACCTCTATTCCAGCCCTCTTTTCCTGTTGCGCCCACCCCTGTCGCCACCCCCACCAGGCCTCGGGTTGGCCGCTCCTTCCACCCCACCGCCCTGGCACTGCGGAGATGGGGGCATCTCTGGCACAGACTGAGGCTGGCAGTTCGAGGAATGGAGAGCTAGCAACAGGAACAGGGGTGCTATGAGGAACGTGGGAAGGATTAAGACCCCCGCGAAGAGCGAAGACCTCAGCTCCTCAGAAGCGCGTCCCCAAAGAAGTGGGGTTAGCCTCGGAGCATTTTCGCTTTTTCTGACTCTCCTGGAGGGGAAATGGGGGCGCAGTCTGCTCCGTTCCCACCGGGAGACTCGCCAACTCGGCCCCCTCCCCCGAAGCCGATGGAGCAGAGGGCGCACCCCACACCCTCCCCGCAGATCAGGCATCGCCCCCATCTTCACCCCCAAGGGCACAGGGCACCGCAAAGGCTGGCGAGGGGCGGCAGGAGGAGCCGTACCTACGCCTGCCGGAGACAGCACATGGGGAGTCAAAAAGGGCTGTTTCCTGAGGCACGATAGACGAGACCCCTCCCCAAACTGTCGAGGGGAGTTGGAGGTGGGGAAAAGACGCATCCTACCCCAGTCCAAGCTCTGGGCGCTCACCTGCCTGCAAATGCCGAAGGCCAGGCAGCTAGGCTCGGAGGCAGCAGGGAGCCGCCCCCGACCGGTGCAGACCGACACGTCCTAGAACCGAGCCGGCGCCGAGGTAGCTGCAACCTCCGCCGCCCAAGCGCCCGGCCGCGAAGCCCCGCCCCCTTCCTCCGTGGACAACCCCCCCAGGCTCCGCCCCCTGGGCGGGGCCGGGCTGCCGCGCCCGAGGCCACGCCTCCCGCCCCCAAGCGCCTCCGGTCCCGGCACGTGACGAGAGCGCCGCTTTGAGGCTGCGCGCCATCTTGGTCCAGCCTCGGAGGTGGCAAAGTGCCAGGGTTTTACCCTGCAGGAGGAGGGTCTCAGGTCACAGGAGTGCTGCCAACATTCTGCCCCCTCCCTCTGAACTCGCCCCTGTTCCGAGTCTAAGCCTGTTCCCTAAATTGGCCTTAGTCTCGGCCTTGTAATTGTTGTCAATAGTTTGCCACCTTTCACACTTGCTCTCTCCTGCCCATTACTTGCTTTTCTTTTGATCGCACCCGTTTTTTAAGTGGGGAAACTTGATATCCAGATACTACATCTGTAGTATGCAGTTCAGTGAATTGTGTCGCTTGCCTTCAGGCACCTGGCTGTTCTAACACTGTTACTACAAAATGGTTTGTCTATTACATATACATAGTATGAAAACAAGTCTCAAATGCCAGAATTACTGACTGACAAATTTTAGCTAAGCCTCTCCATTTTCCTGAATTGCTCCTTTACCCTGCCCCCTGTGGCTATTAATGCATCTCTTTTCCATCTGCTTTGTGAAGTTTCATCACAGTGTGCCTACTCAATCCTTTACCAATACCCAGTAAGCACCACTAAAAGTGTGAACAATTTTTATATACATGCAATGTGTTCACGTGTATGTATTTATAGACATATACACAGCATGTTCTGTATCAGCAGCAAATGCCATAGCTGAGATCAATGACACATACAACCTTCTCTCATTTAACTTCCACCCTATATATTCACCATTTGGCATAATTTCCTTGCGTCTCTTTGAAGACAGGGAAATCTGGGTAATTCTGATCTGAGGGGTGGTAAGTGAAGCTAAATTGGTGACTTTGAACAACACAGCCTTCAACTGCATAGGGCCACTTACATGCAGATTTTCTTCCTTCCCTGCCACCCCTGAGACAGCAAGACTACCCCTCCTCTTCTTACTCGTCAGCCTGCTCAACATGATGACCCACTTAATGAACAGTAAAGATATTTTCTCTTCTTTATGATTTTCTTCATAACATTTTTTTCTCTAGCTTATTTTATTGTAATAAGGTATATACTACATATACAAAATACACATTAATCAACTGTTTGTGTTATCAATAAGGCTTCCAGTCAACAGCAGGCTACTGAGTTTGGCAGTCAAAAGTTATAGCAGATTTTCAACTGTGTGAGAGGGTCTGCATCCGTAACTCTCACAGTGTTCAAGGGTCAATTTATGTTGCTTGACTGACAGAGCAAAATCCCGGTATATATTTATATATATATGTGTTATATATTTATATATATGTAATATATAACATATATATATGTTAAGTTATAAAGCTGTTTTTAACCTGTAGTCCAGAAAGTTCCAATTCTTCTTTGGGTGGTCTGGGGTCCTCACCAAATGGAAATCCCTGAGACACTTCACGTCCTGTCACTAACAAAACATGCATCATGCTAGAAACAGCAACTCAGTCAATGCAGAGGAAGGCTGAAGCCAAGATACACTGATAACACATTTTACCAAGTGTTTGTCAGTATTATGCTGAGAGAAGAGAGCTGAGGCAGTATCTAGTACTGTATCTGTCACTGTACCATGGAATTTGACACAAAAAACTCAGAGCTGAGTCAGAATACAATTATTAAGCCAAATTTATTTCACCCCCTTTTTAAAGGTACTCCTAAGCGGGGAACAATGCACCAAGACACTCCTGCTCCATGGCATCTTTAGTTCAGGCAACCAGGCAGGGACTGTGCTTCTCTCCTCCTGCCTCAAAGAGGCAACTTTTCATTGTAGAGATTTGCAAAGTGCTCATTGTCCTTAGGTTTTTTGTCTGTTATCACTTAAATGCCCAAATTCTGTTTTTGACTGACCCAGGCTCACTCTTGTATTACCACCCTCAACGTGGGGTAAGGTTAGCTGTTAGGAGCAAAATTAAGCAGATGCTTTCTAAGAATATTCCTGGGGAAGATGGTAAGGAAAAAAAAAACCCGCAAATTTAGCAGTTTGCCTCAAAGATTCTCCTCCACAAGATTTTCATTTTTAAAGAATATTGTCTTAATGCCCACCTCCTGGCAATATCCAGGTAATATCCAGCTCACTGGTTAATTTTGGATGTTGGAGGATGGGAGGAGAGACAAGCAGCAAGGTTTTCCTCTTAGCAAAACAGAAAAATGTTTGTGATCCTCTTCTCAGAGTACACCTGAACAACAGGAGTCATCTGAACAGGAGGACATAAGCATTTCTGCATGAAGACCAGGCTTCTGTAGGCACACAGGATGACGGCAGAAGCAGCACAGTACAGGGCAGAGCAAAGTCGCTAAGTGCTTATGGTTCAAGAGGCTGGTTTCAACATGCAATGCATTTTGTTAATGACATTTTAGCATAATAAATGCCTTTCTAACAGTTCAATGAAAGTGTCACTATCCTTCCTGAAATAGCTTTCTTGGTTTTACATTTCACTTAGAAATAACATATTTAAAAGATCATTTCATCAATCTTCTATACTTTTTCGGCTGATTAGAATAAGGTATATACCACAATCAACTTTTCACTTACCCTTTTACTTTTTTTTAAATCTATGTACACTCTCCCTTTTACCCTTTTACCACCATCTACCACAAGAAAAATGAGACTCATCTTTTAAAATTGTGATATAAAAAGACCTGGGTCAGAATCCTGGCTCTGCCTTTACTGGTGTTATAGGTATAATCACTAATTCTGCTTTCTCAACCATAAAATGGGAATAATACCACCTACCTTGCAAGACTGTAAGAAGTTGAGATACTATGTAAAGTTCCTAGTATAGTACCAAGGGTATAAAGTCATCATCATCACTATCAACCTCATGCAAGAAATACCTAAAATCCAAAACTGGCAAAAGAAAATGTATGCAATAAATATCACAAATTATTTTTTAAAAAAGATACACAAGTCAATCTGGTAAGATTCTGAAAACCCTGTCACCTGCTTTATTTCTGGAGAAGGGTAAAGGAAGAAGGGAAAATATTCACTTGAATTTGAGGGGCAGCTAAACTGGAAGCAACAATTTCAGGCCTCTAAGGTTCCTCTGATCCATAAGGGAATGCTGAAACTTCCTTGTTTGGAGATTCAAAGAGTTTAATTTTTCCCTAGAGCAAGATCAACAATTTTCACTGGGATAAAAGAATAAAGAACAAACTCAATAGCACCAAATGGGGTTTTAACACAGAAAACAGGGCCACTCCTTTTAAATGCAAATTTTTACATTAAAATATGTTTATAAATCATAGTAGTTGTTCTTCCTCTTGATTCAACATTTCTCCCTCCCCTAACAGGAGCCCTAGAACCTGAAGAGCATGTACATTACTAACCAGATATACAATCCAGCCGCCCCGTCCAAACTGGAATCTGATTACTAATGGACTAGACTCAGGGTTGCCCCAAGGGATAGGCAGCAGTAACTATGCCCTCAGGGAGAATGGGTACTGAGGGTGCCACCAGTCAAAGAGCCGAACGCTGTGCACTGGGTCCAGGATGACTTGCACACCCTGCTCACTGCGCAGTTTCCGACCACCATGGACAGGGGAATCTTGGAACACCAGTCTCACTCGATGATGCCGCATGTCCGTGCTCACATTGATAGTAAACTGAAATGGAAAAGCAGATTCAGTATCCAACTTACACAACCTTGGTTTCCAACAGCTCACTCCGAAATGAAATAGTCCACACTAATTTACACTGGCTAGGCCACAAGATTAATCTCTAAATTATAACACGAACATCTTTTTTTTTTTTTTTTTTTTTTGAGAAAGGACCTCGTTCTGTTGCCCAGGCTGTAGTGCAGTGATGTGATCTTGGCTCACTGCAACCTCCACCTCCCGGGATCAAACAATTCTCGTGCCTCAGCCTCCCGAGTAGCTAGGAATACAGGTGTGCACCACCATGACCAGCTAATTTTTGTATTTTTAGTAGAGACAGTGTTTTGCCACGTTGGCCAGGTTGGTCTCAAACTCCTGACCTCAGGTGATCTGCCCACCTCAGCCTCCCAAAGTGCTGGGATTACAGGAGTGAGCCACCACGCCCAGCCAACCTTTAAAGATACAAAAAATTAAGGACAATATTATAAGGCCTTCTCAGCTTCACGTTTAAACTATGCTAAAGAAAGTCTCACTAATGAGCACTTTGGAAGGCCAAGACAGGCAGATCGTCTGAGGTCAGGAGTTTGAGACCAGCCTGACCAAACCCCGTTTCTACTAAAAATACAAAAATTAGCTGGGTGTTGTGGCGGGCACCTGTAATCCCAGCGACTTCGGAGGCAGAGGCAGGAGAATCCCTTGAAACCGAGAGACAGAGGTTGCGGTGAGCCGAGACTGCGCACCATGGCACTCCAGCCTGGACTACAAAGCAAGACTCTGTCTCAAAAAAAAAAAAAAACTGCATATATGACACAATCTCAATTATACAAAATTATTTAAGACAGAGTACGTACATATTAACAGACACATTAAGAGAACAGTTCCCAAAAGATAAATTGCAGTTATAGGATAGTGGAAGTCTAAGTCACCTTTACTTTGTCAGTATATTTATGTATTATTTAAAGTCATTTACCATTAAAAAAAAAGTTATTTTCATTGTGGAAGGGTTACCTCATGTATTTCTGAATGTAAGCCTAAGATACAGAGAAGACAAATTACATGAACTCTCCAGCTGCCAAGCCAATGAAAAAATTTTAAAACCTGGAAAAATATGCCAGAGGCACATACATTGTTTACTAATTACTGGCCAAGCCTTGAACAGTGATAATATCACACAAAGGACAGAGCTGAGCCGGTCACTCTATATTTTAATATCTCATTTGTAACCCCTTATGCATGCCTCAAGATCCT